GCCCTCAGAACTCTGGGACAGATGTTATCTGGTCCTGTGGCCTTACCCTCGTGCAGCCTCTTCAGCATTGTATTGTTACAGTTCATTTATCTAGTTGACTATAATACTTTACAAACATGATACATTTACATGTCTATCCTGTTACAAGCGTATTTGTACAATACAATAGAAAATGAATGAGAATGTAGTATTCTTATTTACATCTAAGAGTATTTTAACAGGTTATCACTAGTTCCAGTATGTTATTTTAGAAGTACCTCAATCAATGTAAGGAGCTGCTTTTTTAACTTGATTTTTATTCACAAAATATGTTTATTAGTTTTGATGTACATATTGTATATTATTGTACATTGAAAAAATGTTTTTAGCCATATTATGGGTGATTTGTTGCAATCACACACCAGAAAGATTAACAAAAAAGGCGTGCTTTAAACATCTCTAAAAGCCCTGGCCATAATAAAGAATTTTGATTCGAGTCTGGATCAATCTTGAACTATGATCAATCTTGAGCTTGAAGTTTGCAGCTTTCATCTATTTAAAATCTTAATTTTGAACCTTTAACAGAGCAATGATATTTATCATGCAATGTGTACAAATGCAGGCACTGATGTATGATGTGCTTCATCAAAACAGTATATACTGTAACAGACTTTTCAAATGCTAAAGACAAAGAAAATTTAGGTTTTAACACTTACAGTATTCCATGTTTCTATATGCAATTTAATATTTGGGGTCAAGTTTGCAAAATACTGTTTAAGACTGAATAAGATGGATAGACAGTATACAGTATGTGTTTTGAGAACTACAGTATAACATTGTGCCACTATGATACTACCTCAATATCCAAAAATGCAACAAGTCAGTTGAATCTGAAGGCATAATTTCCATTTTGGCACCCATTAGTTATTCTCACCTGGAGTTCATAATCTTTATTTGATAACTGCAGATACTTTAGTGTATGGTGTCTGATTGTCAAAATATGCAAGCAAATAACCTTTTTAAAAACATATGGAAAGTTAGTAAGCTATTTGGTCGATGTAGATTATTTGGTTGCTAGTACCTGATTGATCTGCCGATCTCTTGAAATCAATCAGGGTATCAGCTTTGACAGATATTATCCTAGAAACCTTTAGTCATGGCCTCCTAGCACTCACTTAAGCAATGAAGACAAGCCTGGTTACACACACTGTATTTAACATAGGAAGTATAGCCTCCGGTTCAATAGATAGTATTATTGATTTTCATTAATCATTTCACAATTAACTAATTTGGACTGGGTCTTCTGCTCAGCCTCTAGACATTGTGTTTTTCTCAACATGCTATTTATGGTGCAATTGCTTTTTAATAGCTAATGATATACTGAAAGGCATTAAAACACAAATGCTATTGGTTCTACTATTTACTAGTTGTTTTCTAAATTTAATCAAAAAGTTAACAGCCCACTTTGTGAGCCATTCTTCTTAAAAAAAGTACATTTTTGTATTGTACATCTTAGTGTATTACTCATAGAAAAATCTTCACATTCAACTGTACTATTCAAATATGGCACTAGAAGTTGTGCTTATGCATTGTGCTTCAAGTATTATTTAATGAACACTAGATAAAAATCATGTAGAGTATTTAAAGACACTTAGTGTACAATATAGCTTATAAATATATATTTAGTTTGTTTAAAAAATAAAGTCCTGCAAATAAATTATATCCACTGAAATATTGTGTCAGTTAGCCTAAACCAATATTCCTGTAAACCACAGGTCTTCTTTTATATGTGGGTGGATAAACATATTTATCTTTGGTAATCATTGAACAAAATCAATTGAGTTACCAAATTCTTGCTTATCTTTCTCAATTTTGCATGACCAGCGGTTCATAAAACTAATATTGGCATATTGACACTGCACTGAACTCTGTCCTTCTGCTGCAGCATGCCCAGCAAAGGCTATTTAGAAATACATCCTGATATAAGTTACTTTAGAGTGACTTACAGTATATGGCAAACCTTCTTTACATGTAAACCAGCACTGTATATCTGCAAATACTGCTTTAAGGCTTGGCTTGTTTCTTCCCTATTTATGGACAATATAATGTACTGTATGTAAGCAAAATGACCTTGTCTTTCTTTTTTTTCTTTTTTTTTCATTTTTAGCATATGTGGGATTCAACATTTAGAGCGGGCAGGAAACAAGTTGACATTATTTGACTCTTTGTACTTCTGCATTGTGACATTCTCCACAGTGGGGTTTGGCGATGTCACTCCAAATATCTGGCCTTCAAAACTGTTAGTTGTTATTATGATCTGTGTTGCCCTCGTCGTACTGCCAATTCAGGTAAGTGAGAACGTGAAAAAGAGCTATGTAAAATATTAGCCTCACAAAATCAGTTGGTCCTAGGGACCGAAATGTCTGCATCACAATTGTTAGAACACCACTGTAAATCAAAATAAAATAATAAAAACTTAAAAAAGGTTTTATAGTTTAATTTAGGTTTATATTCTGATATTCAACATTAATTCAACACAGCAGATACATAAATGCCAGATACACAGCCCGGTTTCCTAACTTAATGTTTCATAAACTTACAATAATAGTTCCTTCCCATGCATTTCATATATTTGAAAGGGCTTATGTGAGCTGTAGGTTGACAAGAAGTCTAAAATAATGGTTAAACAAGAGAAATTAATAAAACAGTACTTAGAATATTACTTCTAACAGAGGTTCTTTCATCATTTTATTTTACAGTTTGAACAGCTTGCTTATTTATGGATGGAAAGACAAAAATCTGGTGGAAACTATAGCCGTCACCGAGCACAAACAGAAAAACACATTGTGTTGTGTGTTAGCTCCCTGAAGATTGATTTATTAATGGACTTTCTGAATGAATTCTATGCCCATCCTAGATTACAGGTATGACCTTTAGCTGCTGTTACATTAAAACTTGAGCTCACATTCTCAATTTTATTGCACTGGCCTATACCATCAATCAATCAATCAATTTAATTGCGTTCTTGTATGGAAATACTATAGAATGATTGATCATCTTTTAGAGTTGTTTGAATCTGACATTAAATGGGCATTAAATGGGCAAATGACCTAAAAATATTGCTAGAGCATCAGATGGATCAGTTTTAGAGGTGGGTATTGTTTACAGGAGTCTTCTGTGAAAAAAAAAAGGTTCTAATTCTTCTAATTGGAAAATAAGGTTCTAATTATCTCAAACACAACCAGCAATGTTAGAACAATTTTGAGAACCATGAAATCAATCCTGTTGATTTGTGGTACCGACTTTCAGGACTATTATGTAGTAATACTTTGCCCAACTGAAATGGATGTTCAAGTCCGGAGGGTTTTGCAGATTCCCATGTGGTCCCAAAGAGTTATTTATCTCCAAGGATCAGCACTGAAAGACCAAGACTTACTAAGAGCAAAGTGAGTGACTATTCAGCTTTTATTTATTATGCAGTATCATTAGTGGCTTTTAATGGAAAACCAAATTGCAGCTTCTTTTTAAAATTCAGTTATTACTCCTACACAGTTCCAGAAACTGATTCAATACACACTGAGTCTAATTTAATAAGTTCCCTATAGTTATAAATTGGAACAATCAAATTATGGTTAGCAACAATGGATCAAAGCTAGAAAACGAGTGTAAAGGATTTGCTAGCTTTAAAGAACACAATTACTTCAATTAATTCAATTTTATTTACTGGTAGTAATCCTTGTTAGTATTCTGATCATTTAAGGCATACCATTATTCTTGTGCAAGATATACTGTACTGTATATATATGGAAAGAAAATTGTATTTTATGAATTAACATGAAATGCAAATATGAACAGGAGTTTTGATTGTCTTGTTGCACTTCTGCATGTCATTGTTCTCATTATAACCAAATATCACATATGCGTTTTTCTGCTTTGTCTGCTTGCATATTTGGGTTAGCTTAAAAAGAATGCTTTTTATATAATCTGTCCTCAGTATGTATTTTATGTTAGTTACAGCTGCTGTTTCTTAGTGTATTTCTCTGCTTTGGCTTGCGAAAATACCCTAATAGACCTACTGTAATAATTAACCTGCTAACAACACAAAAAACAAACTTTAAGCACGTAGTCATTCCAACCCTTTCAATACATACATTTAAAATGGAAGAAAAATTATTGTTAACTCTGTGGATCTGACTGGTGTCTATCACTAGAAAATGACACCATAATAACTCATTAGGTATCACAGTCTGTGGCTACATTAAGGATTAGAATTCTGTACAGATTTAAAGCATGTGCATATATTGTTTTTTAAATGACTTAGATAACATACATATAGAAAGAATCTAAAAAGCAATTAAAAATCTTGGTATCCATAATTGTGAACAAAACAAAAAAAAAAATGGATAATGTACAGTAGCCTTACTTAGAACAAGTACAAATCATGTAATTCACTGCCATCTGCTGTCTAACACCCAATAGTACATCCTTACAGTACATGTTTTCAAGGATCATGTTTGATTATTTTTATTTTTCAATTTTTAAATGTTCATGCCTTTAAAGTAATTAACAAAGAGGTTAAGTTAAGATTCAGATATAACACAATAAAACTCTTCAGGGCAGTTATATTTTTAACTATATTTTTAATGCAGTTTTATCTGCATTAATGCTTTTGAAATAATTGTACTGGAAAAAAAACATTTAGTTCTTGAACTTCAAAACATTCAGATATTTCATTTGGCACTATTGTTTGTTTGTGATGCCTAAATTTATGATAATAAAAACATTACATTTCATTGTATTTTTTATTTTTTTCCAGAATGGACAATGCAGAGGCTTGTTTTATTTTAAGTTGTCGATGTGAAGTTGATCGGACTGCTGCTGTAAGTAGATTAAAACAGCATGAATAATAGCATGAATTTCACGATTTACAGATATGCTCATTTTAAGAAAACACAAATACGACTCACATTTTCTTTGTGTTTGGAAAAACAACACCTTGAGGAATCCAGCTTAGCAAATTGGACAAACTATTATTAGGCAGGTAATTACTTTATAAAATGTGACCTTCTCACAATCATGTGTAAAAATAGAAAGAGACCTTTGGTTCAACTGTATTGTTTAAACAGTTATATGTAAACAGTTATATTTACAGAACATATGAAAGAATTATTGTAAGAAAAAGAGGATATTAGATTTCTTTGGCCACTAGTTTAAGATCATGTTTAATGAAAGGATCTGATCATTTTTACTATATTTCAATTCTAATATAATGGTTAAGTGCTGATATAATTTAGTATTGTGGCTTCAGCAATATTTAAATTTAAGCATTCTTATCACACTTTAACAATTTAAGCGTTCTTATCACAAAAACTGAATTCTTATCACACAGTCTTTTTAAATTAAAACATTTATGTTGTGTAGGGTGTTATCTCAATTAATTTACGATACATAATGCTTTGCTCACTGAGGGTAACTCAAAATAATTTTGACTTTACCTAATAAATACATTATTCCTCATTCCTCAAGTTTATTAATATCCTCACTAAGAGAAAATAAGAGCAGCTATATAGAGCAGATAAGGAAATTTCTTTAGCAAACAATTATTGGTTTTTCCATCACATTTTAAGGTGGCATTATAAAATGTTTTTAAGACACTATGCTAACCATTAACAATTAAATAGTTAATACTTCCCACCACAGAAATTGAGATAGGCTGCTTTATGTAATAAGATAATCATATTTCATCATGTAGACCTTCTTGTACATTGTACCAAAATAATTTCCTTATTAGAATTAATTCCAGGATATGAATTCTAGCAACCAGGTCTGTGATCCTTCACTATGAAAATAAATCACGTTAGCAGTATGAAGGCAGAATAAAGCTCATTGACTTATATGAATCAGTCTTTTCATAGCTCATGTACTTCTGTTATGTCTTTTTATCAGCTAAAACAAAATGGTACGGTACTTGTAAACTAGAAATTGTTTTGTTTTTATGGTGCGTTATGAGAAGCAGGCAAAGATAAATAATGTAATGTTAGTATGTTCATTCGGTAAAGCTTTCATACCTTTTACAACGTTAAAACAAAAAATAAACATGCAACAAAAATGCAAATGTAAGGTTAATCCATATAAAAAAATGAATGTATGGTTTAGGTTACAATGAAAAAAAACATAAGTACTGTAGGTTTTTTATTTTATTGGAATCATTGTAAACTTGATTTTAAAATACAGTACATGCGTCTATTTTTCTGATAGGGTGCACACAAATAGGAATGTAGAAAACTTTAATATTGCACACCAGCAAATACTCTATAATTATCATATTATAGATATATATATCATAATTATACGGAGCAGTGCAGAATAATGGTTAGACCCCTGACTTTATGTTGTAAAGTTGTAGATTCAGATCACAATTGGGGCACTGCTATTGTACTCTTGATCAAGGTACTTCACATATACAAAATGCAGTAAAAATGATAGGAATTATATAAATGGGTACAAATGCATGTCACATTGGATAGCAACATCAGCCTATAAACATAATAATAATTGCCTGTATTATAAAATGCAGATGTCTATAGTAGAGACACATTGCAGCATACAGTGTCATTCTGTAATGTAACATACTGTACATTTGTTTCATACATTTCAGTAACAATAACATGGGAAGCATCTATGCTTTTTTCCTTAAATGAAAAGGAAATGGCTTATATATTACATTAATACAGTATTTCACTCTCATACATACCAAAGCAAAAAAACAGACATCATGCCTCAGGCAGAGCAAAGACAAGGTTGTGCATTAAACAGTATTAGCACATAAGAGGCAGGAGTGCTGCACTTATTACAGGCACTTCAGGCATTACATGCACAAAGCAAATCTCCGTGGTCTGGTGTAAGTCTTGTAGAACTGACTGATTTAGCCATCCATAAAAAACAAAACTCAATAGATCTGTAGCCCTGTAGATAGATAGATATATATATTATACTCTATATAATTTACAATACACTACATAGGTCTTATATTAAATCTAACATTATGGAAGTGATAATTAGAAATAAGTGAGAAGAACATCTGTATGACAGTTGGAAAATATTTAATATTAAATATAGACTTAGATACAGGTAAGTCTTGCTTAATAAATGCATTAGCATTATTTGAATAAACAGTATAGCCTATAACAGTGCATTTAGATTCTCAAAAGGATAGCAGTGGCTGTATAAAGTACTACATATGTCTTTGGATTGAGTATATGTATCGAAAATAAATTGGTCTGACATAATTAGTGTACCACAGGGCTCTATATTAAAACCACTACTATTGTTTATTTTTATTAATGATGTAAATCACTGATATTTGCTCTTGATTTAAGAGGACCTCTGAGTCTTCATATTTTCATTCAAGTCATACTAATGTTAATTAAATCAATTGTTCACATAATTTTGCTACTGTTTCTAGGTTTGTACTCTTCCAGGATTGTAAATTACCTATAGAAATCTGTTGGACTCTGACAATCCAACAATCTAAGAAGGTTCTCAGATTAAAATAGGATTAAAATCAGCAAAAAATGTAGAAGTTGCAAAGGATATTCAAACACATTTCTATAAAATTTAACACTTTGCAAACACCTGGAAGATGACAAATGAATATTAAAAGGTTTTAATTCAATTAAGCACACAGGATTATTGTATAAGCTACTCCAAGGTGTCCTAAAAGAATAAGTATGCAGTGAAAAGAAGCAGAAACATAAGATAATTCTTCACTAGGGCCATAGAGTACAGTACACTTCAATCTCTCCATTAATGCATTAGACACAATGATGATGACCTGGTCCTACTGCCACTAACAGAGTGGGAGCATCAGCAGAGTGTTACGCTACTTGCCAGATGGATTTTAGGACCCTATGTGTACAGTAGCTGATCGAAAAATAAAGGCGGTGAGGAGAAGAAAAGAGAATCCAAGCATACTTATCTGAATTGTAGAACAAAGGTCGTGGTCAGAGACAGGTTCGAAGGTCTGGAAGTCTAAGGTTCAGGAGTCAGGAAAATAGCAAGGTAGTCCCGGGGACGAAAAAGTGAGCTCCACTAGGTGAAAACCAATACTGAGCGTTGAGGTTTAGGTGATGTTGAGGTGAAGTAATCGGGTTGTGGCAATGGAATGACAATCTGGTTGGTTGATTAATTAGTATGGCGGCGTTTGTTGGAATTGGAAAGGGCTGGAGTCTGATTGGGAACAATCGTTTACGAGAGGTTGGATTCTGGTTGTGAGTAGCCGTGACAGAGAGCCTGTTACTGCTGAATCTCTATTGTTGACACCCAGAACAGTCCAGACATGATGAGAGTTTTAGTTTCCAGAAGACAGTCAGATCTCAATAAAACAGATCTGTGAACAATGTCACCTTAGGGTGCTGCTAAACTATGCTTACAGTATATAAATACGTATGCTGTACATATACAGTACTTTTAAAATTCTTTCAAGTCACAGAACTGCAGGGAAGGCACATAGTACAATTTAACTCCAACCAGACTGGCCGCATAACTGAAATGTATAACACAGACCTTAAAAACATGCATTGAAAATTGGAATATTGGAATGATATCAGGTATTTTGAGAAGAATCACAAAATTCACAACATTTTTTATACTTCCCAAAATGTTTCATGAACACCAAACAGAATTAAACAGCATAGAAATAAATTATTTATTTTATACAGTATACTGTACAGGTACATGTATTTACTGTGAAACATTAAAAACACAACCAATGCTAACGTTTTCAGTACAAAATTGTTGCATTTTTAATTCCTTTCACTTTATAGACATATGTAATATTACCCATCTGACCATAATTAGGAAGGTATTTATCCTGTGTGAGGCCTGGACTAGCTCCAGAAGTATAGGAGGAAGGGTGGGACTGGATGCATATGACTATATACCACCTGACTAAAGATGCCAGTTTATCAAAGGGCACGTACACTATATATATTGTATACTATAGATAGTGTAGTAAACTTACAAAATTAATCTCTTAGACACTAATACCATCACCTTGAAAGCCGCAGATTCCTGGACTTAATCATGTTATTGAAATACAGAATAATTAAAAAAATATTATTCTTTTTCCCTTAATACTGTATAGTCAAAATCATTATAACCTATTATTTCGCAATATGTTATGTCTGCAGTACTGAAGCATTTAAGTGAAAGTGTATACATTTGAACTAAAAAGGTAGGGTTGAGTATACTAAAATGTACAAAGGTGTGAGAAGCACTACTCATGCCTCTCTTGAGGCTTTCTTTGTGGTTTGTAAGATGACTTACAACATAATCATATCAATTCTGTATCTTAAACCACCTACTGTAAAATGCTTTTTTCTTATATTTACATTTCAGGATCACCAAACAATTTTAAGAGCCTGGGCTGTTAAGGATTTTGCTCCAAACTGTCCTTTGTATGTTCAGATTTTGAAGCCAGAGAATAAATTTCATGTGAAATTTGCAGGTAACATCATATAGTCGAATAAGATATCTGAACTCAAAAGCCTCTTTAAATGATCTCTTAATGTAATGTACTGTACATTGTACTAAATTAATTGAGTACTCTATGATGTGTAATACTGGAAAATTAGTAATTATGTGTTCCCTGGTGTTCCCTGTCTTTATTGAGCTACTTATTACAATACTCAGTAACTATGAGATAAACAAAAGTCTTTTTTTACCTTAATATAGATCATGTTGTCTGTGAAGAGGAATTCAAGTATGCCATGCTGGCACTGAATTGTATTTGCCCAGCAACATCCACCTTGATTACCCTTCTTGTTCACTCTTCTAGAGGACAGTAAGTGTCAAGAGTTAAGGACATGTGGATAACCAAATATTTACATTTTACATATGAGATTTAAAACTCACACTGTAGCTATAATGTTTTGGGAATGAAGTTAAAGGCAATCCTTGTTTGTAGTTTTCACACCAGTTAATGAAGGCTATTCGTTTAGCTATACTGTAGTTCTTTGGAAACTTTTATGTACCGTATATGTGAAGAAGTGGTATCAAACTAAAGATTAATCTTCATTCCCATAAATGTATTTATTTATTGTTTTTTGCAGAGAAGGCCAGCAATCACCAGAGCAGTGGCAGAAGATGTACGGCAAATGCTCAGGGAATGAGGTCTACCACATTGTATTGGAACAGAGCATCTTTTTCTCAGAATATGAGGGAAAGAGCTTTACATATGCCTCTTTCCATGCACACAAGAAGTGAGTATTTGTGAAAAAGCAGCTTGCCTGAACAGGATCCTATACACAACTGCTTAAAACCAAAATCATTCATTTTAAACCAAAGCACTAAAAATATCACTATCTACAAATGTAATTAAAACCATGTAAGACATTAGGTTTACAAGAAGTATTCATCATTAAAGTCATTAAAGTAATTGAAAAATATACTGTAAAGTCAATGCATCATATTGTAAAGTATATTGGACCATATTTAAAAAAAATACCACTGCACTGAATTTACAAGGCTTGTGTCTTTTTTCTAATAAGAAAACCATATGTGAAATACAGATATCCTACAGCAGTTTTATGAGGATGATCATTTCAGAGCCCATACAGGGAAGGTATACCTTCCTTTTTCATGTAGAGAAATCAGGGGTTGTCTGCTATTTTAAAAAGCAAAATCAGAGTAGGTTTAGCAAAGCAGTACACGCTGTTTAACAAAGACCCACAGCTGGGTTGGTGCTTGGTTTCTGGGTTAATTGTGTCATGTCTGAAGCAGTTCCTCATCTCAATGTCTCAATGTTGTAATGTCTGCACTGAAACTGCTCATCATTTTCTCTGAGTGAACCACGTTTCAAGGTCATCATTAGCATGTTGTTTTCCTGCTCTCCCTGTTCTGTTAAAGATTTGAAGCCAACTACATATCCAGAGAAAACAGATTTGTTACATTTTTCCAAGTGGATATACAGCATACTGTATATATACTGTAGATACTGGCTATACTGTATATTTGTAATCTCTAGGTATGGCGTGTGTTTAATTGGTGTGCGAAGAGAAGATAATAAGAACATCTGGTTAAATCCAGGACCTCAATACATAATGAGTTCCAACGACACATGCTTTTACATTAACATCACCAAGGAGGAAAACTCAACTTTTAAAAATCAACAAGAGGAAATGAAAAACAAGTCATTAAGATCAGGGTATCATGGGCCTTCTAGACTACCTGTACACAGTATTATTGCTAGCATGGGTAAGTGAACTATATGTCTTCAGTAATAAGAATCTTACGCTGTGATTATAATAATTAGAAAAGTCACTGAGCAAGAATTTTCTATCACATGTTTTATTCATACACTTATTCTAGTTAGGAAGTAGATTTCATCAAGGCTAATAATTCAGTGTCTGACTCATATCAAATAAATTGATGAACAACAATCTCAGGTCCTAAACAAAAAAAGGTTGTCTGTATAACTTTCTAAAACTTATTTTTAAAGACAATCCTTTTCAAAAGGTACTACTTGTACTCATGGAATAAGTAGTTTGAGTCTGAGATCTGAACTTAAAATTGTATTTACCAAAGGAATAAAAAGTAACATATTAAATCTTTTTTTACAAGTGGTATTTATTCTATCCAATACTTTGAATTGGCTTTCAAAAAGCCCTGTTGAAATCTTTATTTTATATTGTATGTCTTTAAACATCAAATTTTCAAAAGGTGATTTGTTAAATCTTGGTAGCTTAAATGTCCTGATATTTACACAATGAACAATAAGTATCCAACAACAAATTTCTATATACTGTTTATATTTTTAATGTTTTTATTTAAGGCACAGTTGCAATAGATCTACAAGACACAGGATGCAGATCCTCCACAGGCCCAAACCTGTCTCTTCCTGCTGAAGGATCTAAAGGGAACAGGAGGCCCAGCATTGCTCCTGTGTTAGAAGTAGCAGATTCATCATTCATTCAGACATGTGACCTACTCGGTGATCAGTCAGAAGACGAAGTAATCCTTTCTGACTGTGAAGGATCACTAGAGGAGTAAGTTTATGTGTTTATAGTTGGTGTGAAGTTTTGAAGATATTGCCGTCACAAATATTCCTGAAGTTACAATCTTATATGCTCTTAATAGCTTTATCCCAGCACTGATCTTGACTCACTCTTTCCTTTTCATTTCTCTTTATTTGCTATCACACACAGGTGCTATTAAAGAGAAGTGTGAATAGTTCTGAATTATATTTCCAATCAAAGTGTTTTGGGTAGCAAATGTGCCTGCTCACATATTTCCTAAATAGAACAGGGCTATACTGTTCTATTTAGGAACATTGAAAAATATGTCAATACTGTAAAACTACAATATACTGTATTGACCTGATCATAGAGGTCATATACGTATTAATGGACCACATGTGGCACATCTTGTATTGCAGCTTATGCACTGCTTCGAAGCTCCGCATACCATATCTGTGTCACAAAGAAATATATCACAAAAAGTACAGAAAATATTAAAGGATAAATAGAGTATTGTATTCTACATGACTCTGCTTGAAAATCTATTTGAAATACTTGTGTAGTATTCAGAATATGCATTTGTAATAAAACATTCAGATCCATACCTTTCCTAAACTAATTTCTCTGGGACATCCTACTAAAATGAGTTAAATATCCATTTTAATTATGCATTTTTTACAATTTAACAAGAAAATGTTTATAACTACTTTCTGTGTAACATTGTCTGTTTTAAGGTATATCAAAGGATATCCTCCAAATTCACCTTATATTGGGAGCTCTCCAACATTTTGTCACCTTGTTCAAGAAAAGGTGCCATTTTGTTGCTTGAGGCTTGATAAGGTACAGTAACTGTTATGCCAAATATGTCATAGTCCCCTTCAGCACTGTCTATATAGAAATAAGTCTAGGATCCTGACTGTAGGGATACTGGTAAATGTCAAAACATGATTAAATAAATAAAATCGATTAATTCACGTAAAATAATTACAGCTAAAGCTGAATCTACTTGCATGACTTCAACAATTTGCCATTAAAACGGCTTATACTGTAGATTTCAGAAAACAATATTACAGAATGTCATGCAATAAAAAGGTTATGTCAGCTAACTAATACATTTGTTTGTTTTTAGGGGTGCCAACATAACTATTATGAAGACGCCAAAGCATATGGCTTTAAAAATAAACTGATTATAGTTTCTGCTGAGACTGCTGGTAATGGATTGTACAACTTCATTGTTCCCCTAAGGGCTTATTACAGACCAAAGAAAGAGCTTAATCCTATTGTTGTGCTCTTGGATAACCCGTAAGTACCTTCATATCTGTAGGATAATGCCATTTTTGCAGTTCTAAATATACTTAATCTTTTTGAAATCGTACGTGTTTGGTGAATTGTGTATGGATTGTAGATCAAGCAGTTTTTTATTCTGTTACTTAAAAAATAATGACTTGTACATTGTTTTTTATTACGCTTTACCTTTTATTATGCTTACCTTTTTAGGACCAGTAATGTTTTAATTAAGTAATTATAAGAAGGATTGAACTGATCCTCAGCTGGAAATAGCACTTTTAGATTGACTAGAAAATTATTAAAATAACAAAATTAATTAAACCAGATAATTAATAAAATGAAATACTTGTTATCAAATAAATGAAGGGGGAAGGCTAGAGTAATGGCTGTGGACTTACTGGCATACAGTGGATTATCATGAGCTCCCTGCATGCATAATACCGTAGGGCAATTTAGCCAAATGGTCAGTAAATGCAGCTGTGTAATTATAAAAATAATTAATTAATAATTGCTTACACTTATATAGCATTTTTCTGGACACTCCACTCAAAGCACTTTACAAGTAATGGGGACTCCCCTCCACCACCAACAATATGCAGCATCCAACTGGATGATGCGATGGCAGCCATAGTGCACCAGAACACTCACCACACATCAGCCGTTAGTGGGGAGGAGAACAGAGTAATGAAAGCAATTCATAGATGGGGATTATTAGGAGGCCATTATTGGTAAGGGCCAATGGGAAATTTGGCCGGGATGCAGGGATTACACCCATACTCTTTTCGAGAAATGCCCTGGGATTTTTAATGACCACTGAAAGTCAGGACCTCAGTTTTACGTCTCATCTGAAGGACAGTGCCCTCTTTTTTTTACAGTATAGTGTCCCCATCACTATACTGGGGCATTAGGACCCACATAGACCGCAGAGTGAGCTCCACCTGCTGGCCCCACTAACACCCCTTCCAGCAGAAACCTTAGTTTTTCCCAGGAGGTCTCCTATCCAGGTACTAACCAGGCTTACACCTTAGCTTCAGTGGGTTGCCAGTTATGCGTTGCAGTGTGATATGGCTGCTGACAATTTGGTATTTTATTTTGGGGGATTAAACTGTAGAGTATTATATACTCAGTTTGCTTAACATAACAGAAAATGGGGAAAGTTCATTTGGCTTTGATGGACTAGTAATACAGTATAGCTTAAATTGCTTTAAAAGCAAATGCTTATTCAGAAAAATAAGTTGAAAAAAGTTTTATTTGCACATATGTTTGTTCACGTGTTGGAATTTATTATGAGACAGAAGTATGGCAAATGGAAATATAACAATTTTCACCAGGTAAGGTTTTGTAACATTGATACCATGGTAAAGGTATGAGCATCAGAAAAAAAACATTTTTAGTTTAAAACATTATGCTGTAAATTTAGAGTTAAATAAAAATATGAAAACCATCATCATCTTTCAGTGCAACTTCAAATACAGTATAATTGATAATTTTATCAAATATTTATTAATTATTATGTATGTCTTAAGAACTCAACATACCCTTATTCTTTATTTTTTCTTATTTTAACGAATCAAAACAGAAATAAGATCAGTTATCTCTATCTGCCCATTTTCTAGGCCAGATACACATTTTCTTGAAGCAATCTGTTGGTTTCCAATGGTTTACTACATGGTTGGCTCAATTGATAAGTATGTTCAAATTCAAAGCATGAGATCATTTGCAGTTGTTTTGCATGATTTGTGTTTAAAAGGCCTTCAAATTAGTGTTTTTTAGTTCAGACGGAATGGTTTTGGATTTTCGTCTTTAGTCTGATTTTGTGGTACTCTACTTTTTTGTGACAACTCCGAATTTTCACGTTGCATGGTGTCTTTTAGCATGTTGTGTTTTTGTGTTTCATATTGACTTGATTTATTTAATAGCATTATATGTATTATATTATTTCTTTGCGAATTTAGGCAGATGCCTAAAAGGAAACAGGAAAAGGTATCCCAATGTTAAAAAATGGATGCAATGTTGATCAAATTTAATAATGTCATAATATCATATTATTTATTAATATCATGAACATCTTAACTCAAAAGAGACATTATATTTTATATGAGATTAGGTGAGGATTATGGCAAGTACATTAAATTTACTCTCTTTTTAGCAATTTTGTTTAATGCATAAACAAGCAACTTATGTTCATATTTAATGTGCTAAACTACTTCAGCATAATTGTATTCATAATAACAATGATTGCACACAGTAAATACAACTCTAAAAGCTATACAGATAGTTGTCTTTTTACACAACAGGTTATAATAGTGTCTTTGCTACATGTATATCAAGAAGCAGTGCTTTGGCATCTTTGCAAACTTACACTTGTGCAGAAGCCAGATGGGTGAAGCATGGCAGCCATTAAAAACCAGCAGCCACACTACCTAGAAGATCAGATGGAGAATCGAAAAACTGCTTCACATATATATTTTATTCCATAAAATGGAAACTTTGGGTACATGTAGGCCAGATCTTGGACTAGAATTTAGACAAGACTTTGGGCCCAGGCACAAAATCTTTTTAGTTGGAAATTCTGGTCCAGAAGAAAGAACCACCTACTGGTCTACACATACCACTTACAGCAGCAACCTTGCTTGGTTTCTGAGATTTGACAAGATTACACTACAAGGTGATAATGCTACTGACAACATTGGAAATGGCAAATAAAAAGCAATGCTTCATACAACTGTTAAAATGTGCCATATTACTTTCTGCAGATTCTGTGTTGGATATTATTACACTCAATAGTATGGTATTGAATCATTTCTCACATTTCCTTTAAACAGATTAATTCTTGTCTTCTCTGAGGATATCAAATAATAGAATCCTGTATCATTCTTTGTGGGTTTCCAGGAAAACATGGGTGCATGTAATAGCTGCAGAAGTTTGCCTTTATTGCTATGTGCTGTTTTTAGATAAACCCGGTCATGTTTTATCAAAGTCTAGATGATTTGCTTCGTTGTGGAGTTTCTTTTGCTGCCAACATGGTAGTGGTGGATAAGGAGAGCACCATGAGTGCAGAGGAAGATTACATGGCTGATGCTAAAACCATTGTGAATGTTCAGACACTGTTCAGGTAAGAAAATCAATAAAATGTCAGAGCAGAAAGTTAAAAAAGTTAAAGTTTTTAAATTTATGGAAGTCCATGATAAAGCCAGCAAACTCTCACCTTACACCTTGCTTTTTGGTATAGTTGGTACTGTATCTAGGTAGATGTGTACAGTATATACTGTAAGCTTTCTTCTTTGTTGGTGTTAGTGCACTGTCTGGATCATCCTGACAGAAAATCAGAAAGTAGATACATTAAAAATAATCACATTCATATAGTTATTTCTTACAAGATATAAAAAATTGAATTGATTTGAAATGGCAATAACCAATTTTTAAAGGAAGCTATGGAGGATGTATACAGTATATGCAGTATATGAAGAAGTACAGTACATAAATACAACTACCCTGTGCTGAACCTGAGTTTCCATGGCAACAGAGAACCAGACCCAATAATGAATTTAACCCTTGAGATACTGAAGAAAAGACTTAATGGTTTCATTGTTAATGTGCTAATGTACTTTGAAAACATTTTAAACTGAAACTACTTTAATAGTTCTGTACTTGCTATACTCTACAATGGAAGAGGTTCTAACAAGATAATACCTTGTCACCTTTGTAAAAATCTAGTTGTCTGAGAACTATAAAAATATTTAGTAAAAAACAGTAAATGCTCTCTGTCATTTTGAGCAACTTAATCAGCCCAGTTTGTATTTTAACATTTGAAATTTTAATTGATGATGAGTCTACAAAAAACAGTTCATTTCTGAAATAAATACTGAAGAAAATGTGAGTGTAAACATCTGACTTATTTTGAACAGCAGATGGCAATATTGGTTTGTAACAATAAATGAACAGCTATGTAGAAAGCAATAAATCATCCAGACTTAAGTACTCAGGCAAAGGACATTCAGCAGACCCTCTAAAACAGGAAACCATTTCATCTTACCTGTTATTCTTTTTATGTTTTCCAGTTTTATCTTTAAGGACATCTCACTTCATTGCTCATATGGTTTCAGCATTTTTGAGGAACCATATTATTTATATTTCAAATGTTTGGACCTCTTTTGCACTATTATTTGAAGGAAAAGGTCTGAATGTACTATTTTATTATACAAATAAAAAGGCTTCTTTGGCATTTGCAAGACACTCTTCAAGTTTTTTTCATTTGTATTTTAAAGCAGTTTTTAATATTAATAATAATATTATAATGTATCCAGTAAATCAGGTATGCAACTGTTAATATTTATGATTTTAGCAAGAGACTTCCATGTACATTAGCAGAAATCTAAATATTTAATTGTGATTAATTGTATGGCCATGTCCTTTGTTTCCAACACTTAAAACAACAACCCATCTATACAGTTTATAACACAAGCTGAAATTCAATTTTCAATGTTTTCTTTTCATCTGCCATGTTTCTATGTGAAACAAGTATATTAAACTTTGACTTTGAATATTACCTCATTTTTTTCAGAGGAAATTCGTTAACGGCAGATAAATGATATCTTTGATTTTAAAATGTTTTGCTGCTACTGTTGTTCACTGTGGAAAATATGAATTCCTTTTATCCAAGATTAAATAAATGTGCAAACCTGACCTTTTGGAATATTAATTACATTTGCAAACATGTAAAGGGAAGAATAAGGAATAACAAACAAAATCTGAGAAGCTTTTAATGTAGTATGGATATGTACTGTATCTAGCTCTAGGAACAATGATTTTGAGAAAATACTTATGTAACTCATCAATAAAGGAGTTGTTTTTTTTTCAGCATAGGAAACTAATGTCAGTAATGTTTTACTAGTGGCAGCATATTGCTGTATCTTAAAAGTCCGTTCATTTATAAAGCAATTCTTTGTGTCTGAAATTGTTTATACTTTATTAATACTTTTGTATTAATTCACTGTGTGATTTATTCAGGCTGTTTTCAAGTCTAGGTATTATCACAGAATTGACTCATCCTGCAAACATGAGATTTATGCAATTCCGAGCCAAAGACTGTTACTCCTTGGCCCTTTCTAAACTTGAAAAGGTAAGACAAAACCAAGTATTTTTTACTTGTTCAGCTACACAAAAACAATCAGTGTGCCTATGTTTCAACACATTTTGTTGAGGTGTTAACAAAGTAGAGAGCCCAAAGAATTTTGGTGAGATGTATTTAATATGAAGTTGTATTCAGTATATCTCAGCATATTTTATTTTCTGAAACATTTCTTTCTATATTTACATTGCCCTCCAAATGCTATTACACCCCCAATTAAATATGAAGAATAAATATTAAATAACAGAAACAACTACAGATTGTATGTTTCTTGCACCCAAAGATTTTTGTTCTTAAAAATTCTGAAATTGTTAAACAGTAATCTTGATAGCATTGCAAAAAAGCAAAGTCATATTAAAGTCCAAAATTTACAGCTATTATCAATCCTTTCCTTCCATTCATTTAACAAATCACCATGAACTGTAAAGATCAGATATCAAGCAGTTGCATAAGAGGCTTTTCCTTATTATTTTGTGTACTTGTTTATATATTTATCCTGAATATTTATCCTGAAAAGTTATTTAAATATTTATCCTGAAAAGTGGCAGAGCATATGTTCTTTTCTTAAGATCTAACCTACAAAATTGAAGCCTTTGTCATATAGTGTCCCTATATAATTATATAAATGTATACTCCCAGATGTCAAAATACAACAATTAAGGCTATGGGTTCCAGAAATCACATGTTGCATTTTGAATGCATTTCAGTCTATACTGTAGCACTTATAATAGTGCCAGTGGGTTCCAACAAGTAACAGGCAATGGATCTTGTATCAGTGATCTCTATTAAAGGGATTGAGTGTACAGTACAAGTTGTATCAACAAACAGCTTGGCACACAGACCTAAACTACAAACTCACTAACACGAGAAGACACGACCTGATACTATAGTAGTTAACTGACCCACCCTTCTTTAGGGAGAAAGCTCTGTGCAGCCACATACAGTGAGTGAACTACAAATAGAGCAGCTCCCACAAAAAGTAGGCTGTACAGGGCCTTCTGTCATGGTCTATTTCCATAGTTAGAGAGAACAGTGAAATCCCTTAGAACAGTTTTCATTGTTCTAAGTATTATAATAATAATAATAATTGCTTACACTTATATAGCGCTTTTCTGGACACTCCACTCAAAGCGCTTTTACAGGTAATGGGGACTCCCCTCCACCACCACCAATGTGCAGCATCCACCTGGATGATGCGACGGCAGCCACAGTGCGCCAGAACGCTCACCACACATCAGCTATCAGTGGGGAGGAGAGCAGAGTAATGAAGCCAACATTACACCCCTACTCTTTTCGAGAAACACCCTGGGATTTTTAATGACCACAGAGAGTCAGGACCTCGGTTTTACATCTCAGCCGAAGGATGGCGCCTGTTTACAGTATAGTGTCCCCGTCGCTATACTGGGGCATTAGGACCCACATAGACCGCAGGGTGAGCACCCACTGCTGTCCCCACTAACACCTCTTCCAGCAGCAACCATATTTCCAATACTTCGTAAAGCAATAAAACTCTACATTTTACATCACTATACAGTTGTTACACCATTAGAGTTACATATTAGAGTTCTATTGTTGTTTAAATGTTTATCTACTGTACTGCTGTTTTTTAGGGTCTAGTAATTTTCCAATAACACAAAGAGAACACCAGCAGGGGGCTGTATTGTTCTTCTCATTGTACTGCATACAGTTCATTATTGCTCCTTTCTTTTGTCAGAAAGAACGTGAGAAAGGTTCCAATTTGGCATTTATGTTCCGTTTGCCATTTGCTGCTGGAAGAGTATTCAGCATTAGCATGCTGGATACACTCCTGTACCAGGTAATGTATTCTGATTTTTCAAACTTATTTCAACAGCAGTCTATTAGCACCTGATTTACACGAATATACCCTGTAAATTGTAGCATTTTTCTGTGCATAATCTTAATATAATCTAACACATCCTGACTGTCAGTGAATATAAGGTGTTATATTTTATTACATATCACGTACAGGTTCAGATTACTACTTGCTTTAAAATAGAAACTAATTTAGCATCTTGAGTGGGGAGCTGCATCAGCTAGCATTGACTGCAAAGGCTCATGCATGAAGAAGCTTCAACAGCACACACATTGTGTCTCTGCTGGTTACTTTTTAGCTTGGAATTAACATGTTCTTAATTTAGCACTTGATGGCTACCATACACTTTGTATATTCAATACACTTTTCCTTGCACACACATGAAGAAATCGATACAAAAACAAGATAAATTGCTCACTTAGATATAGGGATAGGCATAACTTTTTATTATGTGCTGAATCTGAAATTAGAAATTAAAAAGATGACCACGGAAATTCAAAAATAAAGTGGGATATGAGAAAACCTTTTATAAACCTTTAAAGATTTATAAAAAAGAAAACCACACATTTAACTGTGCTCAGTTACTCATAATAAACTATAAAACAAAATTGATAATGGCAAGGTATAACTTGAGTACTGAGTAAAAAGACATCACTTTTGTGTTGTCAGTTATGTAGATAAATAAAGACATCAAAGTTTCTTTGGATCATCTTCATTTTGAGGCATACATTCTCTTAGAAATGCTCCTAATCTCTTTAAGCTATGCTATTGTTATCAACCGTTTCACATGCCATAAACCTATGAAAATGGGAATGGTAATTTATCTTATTCCACTTCTCATATAGTGCAAAGTTAAACCCATCCTAGAAAAGTATGAATTAAGTAGAGTCCAAGAGTCACTGTATAAAATAGCGATCCAACACCCACAGCGAACCCACCAAGTTTCTAAATAAATTATGCACAAATGTAATATACTGTACTGTATACAGTAAAATCTAAGTATGTTTTATTTTATGTTTAATGCTCATGTGGTATCCGACAAAATTACAGACTCTAATGAATGTACAAATATACAGTGCAACAAAAGAAGCTCATCACTCTATTTAGGCGTGTTTTGGCTTAATTTGACTAGTTGATTATTTGTGACCAAATCTCCTACTTTGAAAGCCATGACTGTTAAATAAGCACTGATTATAGAGTTACATGGGCATAGGTGAGGAGGTGATTTAACTTGTTGAACATCAAGACTGTTGGGGGAAAAAAAAGGCAATTAGTATGTCTTGCAAAGAATGGGGAGGTCCAAGTGTGATGGTGTGGGCATTAGTGCCTACTCACTACAGATCTCCACTTGTAGTGATTGATGGCAATAGGAGTGCATGATGTTACATCAATGAAGTCTTGGCACCTTACTTGCTGCCCTCTCTGCAGGCTCATCTTGAGGTGACATCATTCCAGCAGGACAACACACATCCCCATGCTGCTTGTTTAATAATGACTTTATCATGAGATGAGAATATGACAGTTATGCTGTGGATGCTGTACCCATCAGACTTCAGCCTAACTGAACATTTGTAGAATGATCTTGGATGATGTATGGCAGGTTGGGCTAAGAGAACACTGAACAGGCACAACTGGACACAGGCTTGTCCAGACTCTACTAGAGGTATAGGACAAAATCCCACAAGACAGCATCTATAACCTAGTACAAAGTATGCGCTGCAGATGTTCCATGAATATTACTACTAGCCTGCAATTTTTAGTTATACCCCTGGTTGATCGACAAATGTCAATCGACATAATGAGTTTACCTGTTTCATGGCTAATAAAATATCAGTGAGCCTTCTACAAAAAAGTTGCTTTTCTGATAACTTTGTGAGTTCATTACAGTTAAAAGTGATAACACAAACTTAGAGTAGTTTAAAGTTATCCAGTAAATGGCTGGATGAGATACTTAGTTCAATTAATTACTAATTACAGAACAATCGAAATTATGTGAATGGTCTCCTCCTGTTTGTAACTTTTTGTACAGTATATGTTTCTTTTGATGCTCAGTATAAACATAAAAATACACATTTATGTGCACGGTATGTCACACGTGTCATTTTGTTCACTTTTAGTCTTTTGTGAAGGAATATATGATATCCATAGCAAGGCTTCTTCTAGGTTTGGATACGACACCAGGGTCTGGATTTCTGTGTGCTGTAAGTACAATTGTATATTTTTTGTCTTTTGTTGTAGATAAAAAAGCAAAAGATAATTACATTAATAATTGTTAAATTTTAAGACTAAAGTAAAAGTTCTTATACAATGCAAATAAACAAAAAGGTGTTTTTATATAAAAGCAATGTATATAGTACTTCATAAAGAGATTTTAGCATTACAGACAGTAAAAAGAATGAATGTATTTTAAACCTGAAATATAAACTTTGAAGTAGTTGAAAAGGGACTACTGTGAGTTAACCAGTAAAGGTAGTTCAGACATTGGCCATTTCAATCAATGCGATTAGCCAGCTGTTACTAAGATGCTCCAAGAAGTGGTGCACACCTGGCTCAGCACTGGTGGGGGATGGGTGCGATCAAGTCATCCAGGATAAATACATCTTTAGCTCATCGTGCTGTTGCAAGTCTTGACATTTCCTGAGTCCTTGCAAGCTTGGTGTGTTGCCAGTGAGATGCACTGCTTCTTCTGTCAGTGTTAACTCTCCTGTAATGTGCTCTGGAAGTCATGACTGTAAAAACTTATAGGCTTGCTTGATTTTGAGTGTATTTGTCTTTGTTCTCCCTGTGGTGCTGCAGGCATGACAGCAGTAAGCCATGTAAATAAATTTGTGACTCCAGTGTTTGATAGAAAACTTAGATGTCCTATTTTGTTCTGAAGAATCCAAATATTTCAATACTCTGTAAATGGAGTTGGTTTCTACAGTAACTATTTATATGTCAAGCACAAGATGATACATACAGTAAGCCATTTTCATAATCTGAAACTCAAATGATATTGTTTGCTTCCTTTTAATGTCCTAAATTTTATAACAAATAATTGTGATGTGGATTGTTTTAGATGAAAATCACAGAAGATGATTTATGGATCAGGACATATGGAAGACTTTATCAAAAGCTCTGCTCCTCTGCAGGAGATATTCCTATTGGGGTCTACAGAACTGAATCACAAAACTTACCAGCATCGGAGGTAAAGCTATGTACAATTAATTTCTGAATAAGATTTCTTATGTTTTTGGAAGCTTAAAATCAGTTAAGCTTAAAAATATATACCAAAATATGTACCAAAATACTTCAATAAATGAATTCTTGTGTGTTAGGGGTTGCCACGTTCTCAACACGCAAAATCTGATAAATAATTATACATGCTGACATCGCAGATCACTTTGCCAGTGTCCCTTCAAAAACCCAGACAGTGAAATAAACTTATATTAACAAATTAATAATGTATCTATACTTTCAATTTAGTCTGTCTATCTGGACTGCACAGGTAAAAAAAAGAGACAAGCAGCCCTACTACTGTATGTGACAAATCAAAAGGAACTTAACTGATTCAATATCAGGAAAAACAAGTGTTTCATACTCATCTAACTTTTACATACTTGCACTGACCAATCAAAAACAACAGTGAAACATACCGCAGGAAACCAAATGTAAACATATTTAAAACAGAGAACATGAGGCACTTTTTTCTACAAGTGTTGTGGTAGTATGGAACAAACTATCCTACCATTTTGTCAAAACTGACCCATCTTCTTTCAATAAAGAACAGAAAGATCTTTGCATTCATTAGCTAATAATTAAGATACAACTGCAATATTTTGTGAGTGTGCAACACTTAATTTCAACCTATTACTTCTCATAAAATTGCATAACATAATGATTGCCTGAAGCTACTTAACTATGTACAGAGCTGGTACATACATACAAAATGTTTTAACTTCAGTTCTTTAACAGACTGTTCAATTATTACTTGATTACTTATAATATTTCTCTATTGTATACTGAAAAATGTAAGAATTAACTGTATTATTTATTCAACAAGATCAAGGTTTCCTTATTAATATGAAAGTTCATTTAGTCTGTCGAAACATTTGGGAATTTTCAATCAGATATGTTTTTTGCTGACAATAATAAAATGCACAGTAAGTAAATACTTTTAAAATCATTTACTGATCTGAAAGACTTGACAACGTGGTCCTTTTTTGCATCATATCCAAGAGTTGCATTTTTTAATTTGTTCATCTGGCAAAACAAGTATAATTGTGCTCTTCTACTTACTGAATGTAGATATAATGTTCATATCACCAGTGTCTTTTTTTCTTTTCTGTTTCTTAACATTAAGTCCAATGAATTGGCCTCACAGGTAAGTAGTTCATTATTTTGTTTTATCATTATTTCATCTTTGTTAATGTAGGATGGTTTCAATAATAAACATATAAAGGAACACTACTTTTATGATGGAATAGGTTCCTGAGTGTTTAAGACTTTAAATATGCATTTATGCTGATATTTTACTGTGAAACAAAAATGAAATACTTGAAACTTTTTAGCCTCTCATCTCTTATCTCAATATTTGTAGATATTGTTTTCCTGTTAAATCATTCAACTATGGCATGCACAAATTTCCCATTATCAGGTGTATCTGCCTGATGTATTTTCAATATTAAAGAAAGATATACCTTTCATCCTCACAGATATGTTTCACAGTATTATTTCAGTAAAGTTTCAAAAGCATTCTTACATGGCGCAGGTAAATGGTGTTCTTGGCATGAAATCACAAGTATTAAATTCATAGTCTGAGTTTATGTCTATTGATAGTTGGTTTTCTGTTTAATAGACTGTAGATTGCCACTGTAGATAAAGATAATCAGTCAAATGAGAAAGACTGATGTTTTATATTCAGAATTCTTCTAAAATTGTTCAAAGATCAACAACAATTGATTCAAACAGATCAAAGGCCTGTTTGTCATTAATTTTAGTCCAAAAAACATAAGGATCACATTTATTGACATCTCTAAGTATTCTTTTATATTAAAATTAACAGAATTATATTTACAGAACAGTCTGTGCTTTGGAAGTGCAATGGACATTTCCTGTTTCACTAGGTTATACTGGTAAAGGAGGTAGCACACAGAGGACATTAATTTAGCCGCATGCATCTTATGGTCAGAGAGCTCTTTGAAGACCACATACAAATTGTCACTTCAAGCTAAATAATACTATAAAAGAAGGCACTATTCTTTTATAAACTAAGTTTTTAATTGAATGGAGTTTAGAAATAGTAAGTAAAAATAGAATAAATCAATGGGAAGTTACCTGAAATTTAGAAATTTACAAATATGTGGGGATAAACTGTAAATTTATAACTGTATTAATTTAATCAAATTAAATTAATTTAGTGGGAGACAAGTGTCATTGTACCTTTTGCAAATAGATTGAAATTCCAAGTCTTAATACTCCCTGGCTGTGATATGACTTTATAAAGGTGAAGTTCTCACATGTTAAACAGTGTATTCATGTATCTCAGATCAAAAGGCTGTTGTTTCACTATAGATGAATAGTAGTGCTTAAAATATGACCAATCATTTTAAAGAATTATACACTGCAGGTGTACAGCACATCAAGCAGCACAGAAAGATCTACAAGTTCTAAGAAGTTTTTGAATAAAACAACTGCACAGCGGCTCCATTACAATCACATGTATCTCTAGTGACATTATCAAAAGGTTTGTTATGAGAATACTTGAATACATACGTTTAATATATTTTTTAATTCTTTTACTTTGCCTTTACTTTCATATAATAATGTTTAGACCACAGGACATCCAATCTACAGTATGTAGTACACGGAAGTAAAATCTAAAATGTTCAAATAAAAATCTTCTCTTGTGCCAAGGATTACCATTAAGCCTCTCCATGCAATGCATGTATTAGAGAAACAGATATTACGTTCACTTACAAATACCGTTCTGTACATTTATTTTTATTTTTGTTTTTAATACAGTCCCAGATTTCAGTTAATGTTGAAGATTGTGAAGACACGAAAGACCCAAAAGACCATTTCATTTATCGGAACAACCACCGCAACTCAACATCCAGTGACCAATCTGATCGGCCGCTACTTCGAAAGAAAAGCATGCAATGGGCAAGGCGTCTGAGCAGAAAGGTGCCAAGACATGTCAACAAAACTGCCGAAAAAATCAGCCAGCAGAGAATGAACCTGTGCAGAAGATCGGAGAGACAAGAACTGGCTGCACTGGTGAAAAACAGGATGAAGAATCTTGGTCTCTCGACAGCTGGTTACGGTAAGATTAAATCAAGGTCAGCTAAAAGCAGAAGCACAGTGAAAACTTCTGCATACACTTAATATCAGTGTTTGCAGTATAACTTTGTTCTGTTCCTTTATACTATTTATATTACCATTATACTTTCAATTCAATATGAATTCGATCAATCTTTAATACTCTGTCTTCCTTATTTTGTAAAGTTTGTGTATATGGATGTTTTTGTATTTGGGACAATATGGTTGACCTTTCGCTTACCAATGAACAAACAGCTTGTGTTACAAGGACCTGGATTTGTTTCAAAAGTGGCAATAGTTTGTTCATGTATAACCCACCGACATGGTGAAAGATGAGGCCTTCTTAAAAATGAATGTTTTTGGCCTCCTGACATACTTTACAGTTTCCTATTTTTTATCTAGATGAAATGAATGATCAACAGAGCACACTTTCATATGTTTTAATCAATCCATCCCCGGACACAAGATTGGAGCTGAATGATATTGTGTAAGTAAAACAATATATGAATTAGATAGAACTCATTATTGGACTTTTAAACAGCTTTACAAATCTGCTGTATTTCAGAAATTAAAAAAAAAAAGATTTTCTTTAAATCTCACATAGAAATCTTTCAAATAATTCAAATAATGTACTTTCATAAGAACATGGTACAGTATGCATTTCAGTAAACAGATCATTTTATTGTATATATATACTGTATGAATTAAGATGGTATTTAGATGGTTCTGCTTATATTTCTTTTATTTCCATAATTCATTGCAATTTGTCATTTACAAAAAGACAGCATAACCCAACAATGTGCAAGGTACAGTATATGATATATAGGAGTTAAATATACTGTATAGGAATCATTCAAAAATAATTAAAAATAAGTAACTACTAAATTTGGACTAAAAGACGTGTCCTAGATGTGTATTTACTTTCAATTTCCAGAGGTTTATAATGTTAAAAATTGTACTTAACCTAGAATTTATAACTAGAAGTGAAGCATCCTTTTAAAATGGCAATTTTTTCTTTCCGTTCATACAGCTATCTAATCCGACCTGACCCACTGACCTATGTTCAAAAGAATTCAACTAACAGAAAAAGCAGTGTTGGGAATAACACAGGAGGTGGACAGGATACAAAAGATGAAACTCAGCTCTGACTTGTTCATCTCACAACTAAATGAATTGCCTTACAGTGTTCAGAACCGGATCATAACAATAAAATAATAATATATAACGACTTTACAATTCATGAAACAGCATTTTTACAAGGTTGTAAAGTATCATCAATCTGCATTCTGTCAACATCCCTTCTGACTAGAAGTGTGATACATTTAAATAAAATATAGCCAAGTTTTCAACAGAAAATAAAGTTCTGAGACAACCAATATATTCTGAGACTTTTTGCATGAAAGAATACAAAGCATTATCTGTGTGAAGAGCAATGTGAAAGACCTGATGACCTGAGTATTTCAAATAAGGATATACAGTATGTGTCTTCAGAAATAATAGCAGTATAAAAGCTGAAAAGGTGGTGCTGTTCTGTATTATATAGCACTTTTAGCATGATGGCCGCAAATTAATAAGTCAAATACAATTTACTTTATGGCTAATGTTAGTATCCACTTCCCATGCATTTAATGTGCTTTTATAGTTAAGAATGCAAATTACAGACAAACCAAAATAAGCTACGATAAAAACCAAAACATTTAGAACATATATAATTTATATTACTTTTATTTTCTCAACTGAGATCTTGATACTTTCTGAATAATTGATTTCCTAAGGACCTGCAAATCTTATTTATGTCTTCTAAAGCAGCAACTCATTCAGGCTAACTGAAGAAGCTGTTTTTCTTTTTTAGGTTAATAAGAATGATTGAACATGAATAAAAACATAAAAACTATCTAACAAGTCTAAATATTAATCAATTTGTGAAATTCCTTGCTTACAACCAAAATTATTGGTTTGTTACAAGTCTGTATTGCAAAACGGTTTTTATCCCACAGGAGTCTAACTTTGCCACCACAATGTGTGCACAACGACTTTGTATTCATATTTTTTTATATTCATATAAAAGAAGAGTGACCATAGAAGCAAAGATAAGTAACCCTAATACATTTTTTTTATCATTTAAGAAAACTATTAGTCTAAGATAAATGACAGAAATTATCATTACTTGCCACAGTAATATAAGCATTTTCATAGAAGTTATGATATACAGCATTTATGAAATATAGATTATATATCAGCATTATTTATATTAAATTGTAAGAGGCCCAATGTGGGTTTGTACCAATCCTCTGATGAATAAAACCTGGAGATCATCATTATTATTTGTATTTCTACATTTCTGTCACAATACTATAACCTACAGTAGGTCTTCGCTTACACTCCATTTTCTCATCACATACTTTCTATTCACAAGTCTCTTAACTTACCCAATTTGAGGACTCAAATCTTTGAACAGTCAAATGCCAACAGAAGAAACTGATTATAATGAAAGGAAACTCTGAGGACCCCTCTCATGCAGTTTCTAGCGGTGCTCTAGTGTAACTGCACATTGCTCCAGTGGTATGTGACCGGACTTTGACTACTAAATAACTCTTGTAAATTACAATAATGCAACAAGATTTTAATAGTCTACCACTGTGTAAGTAATTGTCTTTAACCATAAGATGCATTCATGGTTATTGCAGATACTTAATTATCCACAATAATCTACAAGTGTGGTGATGTGCATACTAGAGTTAAATTTGATTCACATAAAATATGAATATATCAATTGTTCTATTTCATTTTTTACATAAATGTTACAGAAACAGATTCAAATGCATACTTTGCATAATCATTGGTCTTGCAAAAAATATTATTCACAGACCTTATTTAATAGATATTTAACTCTAAAAGTAAGCTTCAGAATTTGTTTCACAAAGTCGGTTTAAGATCTGGCACTGACAAACACAATGCTACGTTAAAGGAATATCTCGCTTGAAGGTTTTTGAGAAGGTGCCAGTACATGCTATACAAATGAAAGATAATGGCTGAATCCTTAAAAAGTGTTCTTACAACTCATAAATAATAAGTTAATATACTTAAATACAATTGTAACAATTTGGACATAAACAGCTGGAAATGAATGGGTTCTCTGACTTTTATTTGCTTTAATATTATACTGATATTAGTTTAATATACACTAGGTGTCAAAAATGAAAACCGCCTCACTATTACACCCTGTCAATATGTAGATCTTTTTGATTGTAGACAACAAGCCTAGTTAGATGTACATTTACATATACACATCTGACAAAACAGACGTGATCAGCTTATTGATAGGAATAAAAATTATTTCAACTCAGCCTTTATTTAACAGGTCCTCACTGCTGTATACTACAGATTTAAAACTCTGAAAAAGAGATCATTTTATCTTTTGTTTTGATTGAATGTAATTTGAACTTGTATTTAGAATACAAACACTGCAGAAATTCTGGGAAAAAATAAAGCAAATAAACAATGAGACTGCCAATTTCAGGTATAAAAGAAAAGATCCAATGATTCAGATTACCTTTTCAAAAAATTATTTCGTTAATTAACTGTGTATTGAATTTTGGAGAGTAAACTAATGATTGTCTAGATAAGCTTACATGCATTATGCACTACTTAATTATAGTGAAATAAAGTCTTGAATTTTTTCTTCTAGTATAATATCCTAGTTGTGATCACTTTTGCACTTGTAACACAAATAGGAAAACAAATTAATTTGTTTACATGAGTCTGACACGTCATCTCTAAAGATGAAGAACACAACAAACTGACAGGCTGTGGCAATATGTTTTAGCGTTACAGCCAGTTTCAGAGTGCTGCTTCACTCAACAGACTAAAAACACAAAGGACAGATATAAGGAAATCCCCTCAGAGAACAGAAAACAGAGGATTGGAAGTGTGACATTTTACATGTCTTCAGGGAGACTGAGTTTACTGCTGACAAAAACTGAAGCATAAGAGGTAAACAGTAAAAATTACAGCTTAGTTTATGATAAATAAGATGAGTCTCTCTGCAGGGAGAAGCTTGGGAAAAGTGCTTTAAAGACCACTCTGTCTCGCTGTCATTTTAAAACCTACAAGCTACAATGATAGAAAATTTGTCTTAATAATGTTACCACTACAGAGAACATTCCAGAGATGGAAGTGTACTGAACAAATATTGTAGTCAAGGTCAAGATGGATAAGACTTTGTGTATTCTTCAGATTTTTAAATGCAGTATTCAGTACCATGAATGTAAAAAAAAATTGAGCATGTTTATTGAAGAATGAGAGTTCATGTTTGTAACTGTTAAAAAAATGTATAAAATTGACCAACCCCCCCGGATCATTTTACTTAAAATGTTCTTGAGAACTAGGTATTAAGTTAAAAAATTATAAAGATATACATGTATTTTGTTAATATACCAACATGTTCAGTCTAAATATAAAGTATTTGGTCAATATGCAGTCTGGAGTTTATATCAGTTTTAGACGCTGATTTCATTTGAGAAAACAGTAAACCCCAAAAGATATAATAACTTTATGCCTCAGTACAATATTCAGTACGATACATATTTTCTTATTTAAATTGAAATGTTATTTTACTTGTTCTTTTATCATTTGAACCTCATGCATGGTTAAAATTATTTTAACAACATTTTAATGCATTACAATTATACTGTTATCTTTAATAACTTAAAAATGTATACGTTATGTTTTTTAAAACATTCAATTGGTCTGTTTTGACATTAATTGTATTACCTGAACAGATAGTTACAGCATGTATCTGTAATACATTGAAACTAAACAATCATATTCTGACTTACTGCTTCTAAATCCTTTATACTGTGTGAAGGAGCTTTGAAAAGCAATGTTACTTTACATGCACAGATAAAACATCACATTGTTCTGGATCAGGTAACATGGAGGACTGATCTGGTCCTCTAGTGTAGGTGTTTTGTTTGGAGTTTTGAGATACAAACCTTGAATACTATTGACTTTTTTTGTTTAATTAAAAGTATCTGTGATCTTCATTTTCATAAACAATTCATAATGTCAATTTGACTTACTGTAAATTAGGTTGTACATAACATGAGTGCCTAAAACCATATTATTGACTTAGGGTAAAAGAATAATTGATCACTTTGCCTGTCTGGATTTGTTCCAATTGTAAAAGACATTGTACTGTATACGTAGCATTAGGACCACATCATGTTCTGTTGCAGTATAAGGGCTTTATAATCCACGACTGCAGTATAGATGAATTCTTGTTTGGAAGAGACAGGAGATGTGATCATAGTTTTAATGTAGAGCTTTATGTACAATACAATGTAGAGCAAAGAAAAGGTTTGAAAACACCTCCTCTTTAGACTAATAATTCACCTTCACTGTTGCAAATTAAACTGTGACCTGTGTGCTTTCTCTACCAAAAGAAATATAAAATATTTTAATCTGAAGGAATTCCTTTATGTACTGTATAAAGAAGGTATGAGAGAGGGTGACAGTTCACAACTTTGATTGTACAGCAATAACTTTACAACTACGGAAACAAAGATAAAATACTGCTGTACTTTTTACAAGGTCAAATATGCTAATGGCTGAATTTCAAAAGGTTTTTGTGGGAAATGTTCATCTTTGCTGCTATTCCACCTATCTTGATGTAATGATCTGATGCAATTATGGTCTTGACAAGTGATCACATCAGCAGGATGTCCTTACCTTTACTCAGTTTTAAGATACTCACAACTACCACTTTGCGAATGTTGACTACTCCACCACAGAGCCGAACCTGAGGGGTTTAAGAAGGTTTTCCATCTCCCTTGACCAGGAATTTGCTGAAAGTACAGTAAGTGTACTTTTTAATTAGATGTACAGTATGTTTTTTAAGAGTTGTAGTCTTATAGTGCAAGCTCCACGTAGAAACTGAGGGGAAGTGAAATTAAAATATGAAACAGGAAGCACTTTTTTGTACAAAGAGCTGAATAAGATCCTTGATGATCAAGGTACAGTACCACCAACCAAATGGGCTTAATGGCTTCTTCTCATTTGCATCTGTTCTTATGTTATCTATGCAGTGTGCTTCTAAAGACATTACCATTGCACAGAGGAGAAAAATATCATACAAATCAGGAATTACGTACTGCACATTGTATGTGTCATTTCAAAAGAAGATAACTGCAGCCACACTGGGCTAATGCTGAAATATACAGTGAAGCAGGTGAACATTTACACTTGTGCAAACTTATAGTTGAATGGTTGTTGAAAGATTTAATTCTGATACAATTTTATTGTGTGATATGTTTAATCTGTCATAACTGCAGCACTTTGTTAAGAAATGCTTCAGAATGCTTCCAATATTAATTTTTCCATTTCAATCAATATTTAATTAAATCTAGAGAATTTAAAGGACATTTGACAGATGGTTTGGTATCAATTGTGTTACTTATTCCATGATTTATAACACCACTGCAAGATACAGTATTAACATTTTGCTTTACGTCTGGCATTAGTAATTTGTTTTAATGTGACAATAATTCTGTGTACTGTAATACCAAAATAAATTGGTCTCTGTGTACAGCAATTTACTGTACATACATCTGAACCAGCATTAACGTGATTTTCTTGATACAGAATAACAATCCAATTTGCTACAACATGAAAAAGAAACTGAGCAAAAACCTGGGAGATTACATTTAATTTAGACAAGTTGAGGGATTTGCATGCAGGTAGCCAAAACAAACTATAGATGTAACACTTTATATATAAACTATTAATAAAACATGGGACACATAAGATAGAAGAAAATGAATATTATATATAGGAATATATATATATAATTTAGACTATTTTGTACAATTTTGGTCACCACATAGTAGAAAATATATTGCTGTTCTGGAATAAATGTATAGAACAACAACAAGACAGATTCTGGTACTTTGACACAAGTTTTCAAAATGTTCAAGGGCATTTATTTAGTCAACTCAGCAGAGATCCTCAAAATACACAATAAAACACAAAGCAAGTGACAACTAAGAAACTACAAAGAAGTGCATTTAAAAACTGAGAGCAAGAGGCACTTCCTTCCAAAAGGTTTGTGGTTGTATTGAGCAACCTACAGTACACAGCTACAGTATGTTGTTGAAGGCAATGCTTTGGCTTCCTTTAAGAAATGGGTCAATTTGTGAAAACAGCCAGATGAGCTGAATAGCCTTCTTGTAATTTTAACTTTACTCAACATATTAAATGAGACATAAAGAATGTCTGTGAAGATGGGTGTGTCAGTGTGTCTCATTTTCTCCTTAATATGGGC